AGAAGGCTCTGTTGGACCGGAGTTGGAGAAGTTTAAACTGAGCAACAGCTTCCGCGGTGCGGGCGGAGGCGCTGAAAACTGCGTGAGAGCTTCTGTGGTGGCTGGCGTGAGGCGGCGGTTGCTCGTACCCCGCGGTGGCAATAGGCCGGAGCGGCGCTTGGCTGCGAGGGCCGTTCGAGGCTGCTTGCAGCTTTAATTATTATTATTATTATTATTATTCTTCCACCCAAATGAATTGGCTTTTTGGGGGCTTTATCATATTCAAAAACTCACCAAACTTGGCGGAGGCCTTAAGCCTGTTTAAAATTTACGTATTTTAAAGTTGTCGCAAAAATTGCAACAGAAATGTCTCTACGGCGCCACCTAGAAATTGGAAAAACACCCTTTTTTACCCTCTGCTATTCACTTACTTTATCGTAGAGACATGAAATTTGGTACACTTGTAGAGCTCCCCAAGACGCTCACAAATTATAATTAATGTATAGTGCATATCACAGGAAGTCAAAATTTGTGATGAAGTACAGGAAAAACCATTTTTGGAAGTTTTGTTTTACAGCCTTTGTATTTGATCTATCTCCTCCTATGGATTTTGATTGATCGACGTCAAACTTGGTCAGTCTGTTCATAAGGCATGTCCCATCTAAAGTTATCTAAACGGTGAGTTTTTGAGTATGCTGAAAGGGGGTTAGCAGGGGTCAAAGTTCACCTACTCGCCATAAAAACATAAACTGCTATATCTCCTACACAGAAACTCACAGAAGCATCAAAGTTTCTATGATTGATCATCATCGGGTGTCCTACAATACCCTATGGTCGAATGATGACATCACTTAGGCCACGCCCCCTGAGAACAGGAAGTGTAATGTTTTACTGTGAACTGTTGCTATCTGACCCCTTTGACCTCATCAACATGAAACTGTGCCCAGACACAGAAAACATGTTGGTGTATTGAGGATTCCAACTCCGACCAGCTTTGATGGAGCAGGTGGGCGTGGTGGCGTGGTGAAGTGACCTGTAACGCCATCGCCATACGTTTGGCTCTCAAGTCCACATTTTCGGGCCCAGCTGCTGCAAACTCATAAGGATGGACCCTCATCCACTCCCCAACAGGAATCCATCACAATATTTGGTGGGCGTAGCCTAATTTCTCTATAGCGCCCCCTAGAACTTTAAATGATCAGCCCCAAGCCATGCTTTAACCTACAAATACGAAACTTTGTACACATGTGTACCTTGTCAGGACGTACAAAAAAGTCTCTTGGAGCCATGGTCTAAACCCCACAGGAAGTCGGCCATTTTGGATTCAAGTTCGGTTTTTGACCGCATTTTTGCCGTTTACAGCCTTCATATTTGATCTATCTCCTCCTAGGGATTTTGATTGATCGTCTTCAAACTCGGTCAGTCTGTTCATAAGGCATGTCATCTAAAGTTATCTAAACGGTGAGTTTTTGAGTATGCTGAAGGGGGTTAGCAGAGGTCAAAGTTCACCTACTCGCCGTAAAAAAATAACTGTTATATCTCCTACACAGAAACTCACACAGGTACCAATTACTGTGATTGATCATCATCGGGTCTACTACAATACCCTATGGTCAAATGATGACATCACTTAGGCCACGCCCCCTGAGAACAGGAAGTGTCATGTTTTACTGTCAATGGTCGCTATCTGACCCCTTTGACCTCATCAACATGAAACTGTGCCCAGTCACAGAAGACATGTTGGTGTATTGAGGATTCCAACCCCGACCAGCTTCCATGGAGCAGGTGGGCGTGGCGGCGTGGCGAAGTGACCTGTAACGCCATTGCCATACGTTTGGCTCTCAATTTTATTTTTAAAGTTTTTTTTTTTTTAATAATTTTGTTTGTGGGTTACAGTACAAACATTCATTAATTTTGGCTAGAAATATACAAACATCGTCATTCAGCAAAACCTTTATTGTGTTACTCAGCTCCGCTGAGTAACACATTCTGGTCAGTGTTGATGGAGTACGACTGGCCCCTGGTGGCGCAATACTGGTACTGCTGGCGCAATACCATTATTGAGCCAGCAGGAGTCACTGGTACTCCATCAATGAGAAAACAAATCAAGTTCGGTTTTTTTCGGACGGCCGTGAAAACGTCTCCAGCGCGTCTGCCGTGAGATTTCCAAAAGGACAGCGATTACATTTAACCTGAAATGTTATATGTAAGCCCTAAGATAATTTTTGTTGGCTTAAAACACGGAGTAAATGTAGCGTTTTGTTAATGACTGTTATTTCCTACCGCAAGTAAATGCATCATTTCCCTCGTCTCTGCCTCAATGGCCAGTCAAGGGCAAAAACAAATTTAAGCAATTTGATTGGTACGTACTGTAGCTGTGCTAATACTTACTGTAAGTACTGGCAGTCGGCAGGAGATCGTACATGGTTGAGGTTCGGCGCATTACGCTGTGGACTGTACATTTTTTTGCTAAACTGTTGGAGCAGCTAAGTTTTCCTGAACATTATGCCTGGTTTATGGAGCCACAGAACCGGACCACGCTAACGTTTGCTTCGGTTTTGGAGCTGCAGACCCGACGCTCATGAGCCGGAACTGTCTGTTGGAGAGGAGTTTTATTGCCGTTCGTCTTAAAAGTGGTAACTGGAGATGCGGTGAGTGAAGCTCAGTTCACACTACACGATTTTAGAAAAGTCGGCCAATTCTGAAAACGTGAGAGAACACACACTAGCCTATTTAAAATCGTAGGTGTAACGGGTTCGTTCTAAGAGTGTGAGGTTTCACTCGAACACATTCTAATACCAGCTACGAAATACCTTCAAATTAAATTCTGCACTACCACAGCTGAATTTGGAGTAAACAAACAAACATGGACAACGACGTTGAATTGGTAACTTTAGTTTGCGGACTTATTTTAACCCAAAAAAGACGTAACCAAAAATCAAAGCCTTGGATTAAGAACTGGAGATATCGTAAGCAAGGATTATATTTGTTGCATCGCAACATGGAGGTGAGTTTTTTTTTTCATAAAAAATACTGTTTTCAATGTTTTTAGAAAATCAAATGGGAGTTATCCTTTCTCCCCAACTGACCGCGAAAGCTTAACGTAGCCTATTCCAGCTCCTTTCATTGAAACTTATTATATTGTTTAAAATTGTATTATGACTGCAGAATAAAATCAAATGCGCCATTTCAACCAAGATTGGAATGTGCTTCTCAACCAGATGTACTCTGTGCAATAATTTTATAATTATCTTTCATTAAAAGATAAAAAAAAAAAGTCGGAGGAACAGCACAGAGACTTGGATGAATGAGCAAAGATGATTAAAGACAGTCAATATCCCCGATTTTAGATCAAAGCGGTACCAACGTTCCACCGACTGGACCCGATCAGTCGTAACACACCACACACTACAGGATGATCGGTTACGATTGTTGAGAGCGACAATCTTACAACGTTCTGAGTTCTTAAGACTGATACATTGGGGTTGTAATATTTACTTGGACCACTTGCTGTGATTAATACCTAATTATTGAGAGAGATTAAACCTGTGCTTTTGTTCTAATGTACTGAAAGTTAACTGTGCTCTCTGAATGTGCATTGCCCTTGGTTTATTACTGATCAGAAGGGTTTATTAAACTGATACATCTTAACCTTTACCATTTTCCTGACTCATTTTAGGAAAATGTTAAAGTTGCACTGCATTTAGATCTCAGTTGCAGTTAACATCAAAGCATGTGGGCGTGGCTTAGTGTAAAACTTTCACTATTTGCCATGAAACATAAACATTAAAAAACTTCCAAATGCAAGATCACAGCTGCATCGCACTTCCTGTGTTTCTCTATAGAACAGTCCTGAACACATTTCCATGGTCACTTGATGAAATCACCCTAGCCCCGCCCACTTTTCAAAGGCAATCACCAGTTTTTTCTCCTGTGAGTTTTACTGTTATTCTATCATATATATGGGTTTCATCATGTGAATACTGACTTAAAACGACAAGATGATGAACTCTGTGAATGCTGGCTGCTGACCAAACCGCATTGGGGTGTAGAAATGGCGAACTGCAGTTCTTCACCATGTGCATATGATAGGCTCTAAATGATACGTTGATCATCCGACTGGCGCCAAATTGGATATGTATGACCTTTGTTGACCTCTAAACACCCCAACAACATTGAAATGTATTTTGACTCCACTGCGCCAACTACATTAATACGCCAGCTATATCTCCTCGCTATATCAACGAATCTGCACCACATTTTTTGTGCGTCGTCAGGAAGTGCCGCCGAACGCATCGATGCGTACCGCCTGGTGGACGGGCGCGGAAACCGCGCAACAACTTCTGTGTTAGAACGTGGGGAGCGTTTGATGGAAACGAAGCAACAGTTTCCGCGGTGCGGGCGGAGGTGCTGAAAACTGCTGAGAGTATCTGTGGTGGCTGGCGTCGGGCGGCGGTTGCTAGTACCCTGCGGTGGCAATAGGCCGGAGCGGCGCTTGGCTGCGAGGGCCGCTCGAGGCTGCTTGCAGCTTTAATTATCTTTGTCTCTCTCCGCTTTTCTTTTCATCCCTGTGAAAAACTTTTTCATGTTGTGGGTTGTTGAATAACGGAGGCCATAGACAGAACGCAGTCGGAGCTTTTTGTTGACTTAACACTGCTAACCAAGGCAAACCTGTTGTCTTGTAAGTCGTAAAATGTTGCACTGTCGCAAACGTGACAGAAGTAACAATGAGAGCGCCACTGCCGCCTACTGTGCGCAATTACACTTTCTACTAGTACGGCCAAAAAAAAGCCTGTTCCCCAGGATCACACGCCCCCCCCAGGTATCGCACCGGGCCCCCCGAAGGGGCCCGCCCCACTATTTGAGAAGCACTGGTCTAAGAAAAGGAAGGTCTTGGTCAGTTCAGTGACGTTTTTCCTGAATCGGATCAGGCGATTCTAAACTTCAGACATCGGAAGTGAAAAGTGGATCTGTGCGTCCCTGAGGTTCTGCTTCTGGCCGACCCGAGCGCGGCTCCGTACCTGGGATCTTCTTGGCCCAGCCGATCATGTGAACCAGCTCCTTGTCCGCCAGGTTGGTGAGTGACATCATCACGTCTGCTTCCGTCAGCGGCTTCTTCATGTCCTTCATGAGGTAGATGTCCGGCGGCTCCGCCTCGACGATCCGCTCGATCAGCTGCTCCGGCGTCAGTCCGGGTTCCAGAGGCTCGTTTAACAAACTCTCCACCGGCCTGTTTAACGCCTTGGGTCGGCTTATCCGGCCCTGGGCGGACAAGCGGGTCACTCGCCTCACCAGCGTGGTCCTGCAGTTCCCGCGCTCCTTCCGGATCCCTTCGAAACCAGAACCGACACTTAATTACTCCAGGTGTTTCACCGCAACAACACTAAATCTTACCAAGTTATTATTTCTGCCGCAGAAATCTTTTCACCCTGGAAATAAAATGAAACTAACTGAAGAGCAACTTTTCAGAAAGGATCTTGATGTCAGTAAATTATTAATTATTCCTTAATATTGATCAAAAAGTTGTAGTTCCAAAAAGTTCTAGCAACCCAGATGAATTTCCACCTGCAGATAATTTTACTTATGATATGGGGAAAATATTTAGTTATAAGTGAAATAATCTACCAATACAAATAGTACTTGATCATCAATTAATATTAATTATTGACTTAAAATGAGCTTATGTACTATTTGTTTACATAACTTGAAAATTAAAACTGTTTTCCAATCAATCCAAATGTGCGTTAGATTAGTTAGTGGCAGTTAAAGAAATACAATAAAAGCACAACGAACCACATTTGGTCATGCCAACTTCGTAGCATTTGCGAAGGCGACACGCTTGGCAGCTCTTGCGTCGGTTCTTATCTATAGTGCACTGATTGGTTGCCGGGCAGATGTAGTCGTTATGACCTAAAAGACACAAAAGAAACAAAACATACAAAATGTGAATTTGTTACTTTATGAATAAGAAGAAAAATTGTTTTAATTTTTCATATTTTGCAAAAAACAAAACTTCACCAACGAATGGTTTGGGTTTAGATTCAAGTGTGAATATTTTAGTGATCTTAAAGAAAAGTTGCTTATAAATCAGAGTTGGGTTACATTTGCTGGAGGTACTTTTCTGAAAAATGTACTTTTAGGAGTACATGCATGTTGGTAGTACTCTACCAACATGCAAATTAAAACCTTTTATTTGCACCAAAAACAACTGGTAAGATTTTGTGTTTTTTCATACATCATCCATGTTCTGAACAAAGTTACCATCTTATGATTGAGAAAACATTCAGTGGAAACTAACGGGGAAAACCCAAACAGGTCACAGAGGACTAAGGTTCTGTTCCAGAGACGAACGCATAAAACTTCGCAGGCGGACATTTTCAACCCGGTGAGTTATGGGTTTGTAAACTCTTAGAGTTTAATGGCGAAAGAATCAAAAGGCAAACATAAATCATAGATTAGCAAGAACATGGAAAAGCAGATAGCGTGTTTTTCCTTTGATTTCGTCTCACCTTGGATGCTCCTCTTGAAGAAGGCCTTGCAGCCCTCGCATGACCACACGCCGTAGTGATACCCAGAGGCGTAGTCGTGACACACGGCGCAGTAGTGAAGGTCGCCCTTCCCGCCCGACGACACCACGGCGTCCTCGTTCTCCTGCGACAGCTTCTTCGTGCTCTTGCTAACAGAAACTTTCACGTCATCATTTCTCACCAAAACAAAAAAAATCATCAACTCAGGAATTACAGCAACCCAAACTAGAATTTATCTATAAAACAATCGACATCGTAGATAGAAAAACGAGTTAATTTCTGCCCAAAATAAAAACCCACTGCATGAATTTGCAAAAACAGAAAAAAACATGGACATTTCTGAGCTCCAAGAATGAAAAAATTGCAAGAAATGTCTCAGAAAGTTTCTAGAAATCTGTTTTTAAATTTTTGAGTTTGAAAGTCAAAAAAATAAATTTCTAGAAAAGAGAACATGGACACTTGTGAGCTCCAAAGATCAAAGATTAGAAAAAATACAAAAGCATTTTATTTTGGTGTCAGAAATGCTTTAGAATTTTTTTTTTTTTTAAACTTAGAAAGTCTGGAGTTTTCAAACTTCTCAATCTCAGAAATGTCCAAAAGTCAAAAAGTTTCAAGAAAGAAACAAAACAGAAGTTTTTATTTTAATCTCATAGAATTTGTAGAACAAACAACATTTCTGAGTTTGAAAAGTCAAAAATGTTCAACTTTCAAACTTTTTTTTTATAAAATTTCTAAGAATAAACTCAAATTTTCAGAAATTTTTGGCAAAAATGTACTCTTTTTTTAATTATCATTTTATATACAATGGCCAATATTCAGTTGTTCTACTTGAATGTTCCGCGTCTCATAAAGAAGCGGATTTGGGCCCCATTGCCTGCTGGGTGAACGTAACCTTTATGTTGGCTGATTGGAAACAAAAACTCTTCAAAGTGCATCAGTGCATGAGGCGATCTGGGCGTTTCCGGCCTACCTGCTGGTCAGGACGCTCTCCCAGGGGCTCTGGACGGCCTGGCCGTGCTGGGCTCGGCCCGGGGAGCGGTGCAGCGGCAGGGCCGCGCCAACATGGCCGTTCCTGGGCCAGAATAAGGAGGCGCTCAGTGACGGATGGACAGACTGACACTCTGAAATGCTCTGACCGGCGTAGCTGAAGATTGTGGGACTGTAGAAAGAGATGGGGGTGAAGTCGTGGCCCAGATCGGTGTACGGCGCCGGGATGCAGATGGGCTGACAGGCTTCGTGGGTCAGAGCAGGAGACAAAATGCGGCTGCCGACTCGGCTGGAGTCCACTTCCTGGAGCTGCAGCAGCGGCTGGTGCTTCTCTGGAGAGGTGGCAGCCATCGCAACAACAAGAGCTCTCAGGAAACGACAGCTGCTACATCGTCTGCAAGAACTTATCGATTTATCCCGGCTTAGTCAGAGAAGAGTCCAAGTGAAGCCTCGCTCAGCTCAGCATGTCGTTGTCGGGAATATCATCCAAACTGAGTCCAGTTTAAATCAGAGGAGATGTGGAGTTAAATCCCAGGGAGCCGGAGGTCCTGCCTTGTGGAACGCCACCACATGATGCTGAATGAGGAGAGAGAAAACACCACAAAGTGAAGTAAGAGTCGGAGCGGGGAATCAAACGTTTGGTTGAATTTAATGTGGTGGATATAAATTTTTGTAAAACGTTTATACACTGACTGCAGGCTGAAAACAAACAATATTTATTGTGTTAATCTTCCCATTAAACTACAAGCAGAAAATCCACCATCATTAAATATTCAAGACAGTAAAAAGCCAGTGTTTCGTAGATCCCCGCTGAAAACTGACAAATTATTTCACCTCTAAGACAAAAACCTTTTCTTGTTACAAGCGAAATTATCTGCCGATTGTACTGAAACTGGGTTTGCTATGCAACAGCTCCAGTGGCACTACAATGAATATTGAGGGATTAGCGACTTAAAGCTCAGATCTGGCTGGAAAGTTACTTGTTTGGTCGTATTTCAAGTGTTCGAGGAGATTTGCTGCAGAAACTAAACCAAAAAAGCACTTGGAAAGGTTTTGGTATGGTTTTCATTTTTATGGGCTCACAGATAAATGTCCTCAATAACGTGAATCACACAAACTGTTGCACTTCAACTTCAATATTAACAGAGAGGAAAGTGAAAGCTTGCGCGATATTTCCTGGTTTACAGTAAACTATGTGCATAAAATCTGTTTCCTCCGACTGCTTCTCGGTCACAAAGAGGCAATAAAAAAAAAACTGTGATGAGAGAAAACGTCGTACAGGATTTATGTTAACTGACAGCTGGTGCATGAATATCCAAAGACCAGTGGAGTTTAAGGAGCCGTTAGCACCAAACGCAGCAAAGTGAATCATTCCTAAAGGCAGGAGTTTGTCTTCAGTCAGACTTGGTACACAGTGTCTCTACTTTCTGGCTCAACGCCCTCCACTGCAAGTCATTTCATTTCTCATCCAGAAAAAAAAGAATTAATCAAATTCCAGAGATTTTTTTTTCTTCCTTTCCAGCTAACAAAGCTTTACAGGACTAGTTTGGGGAACTAATTAGACGCAGAACATTGCAGGTAATCACAGATTACCTTCGAGTCAAAGCGTTTGTGTTTTTCTTCTCCTCTAAATGTTTTAAACCGAAGCTTGAAACATTTTCCTTCCAGCTGTGAAGAAACTCACTGAAAATTGGCTCCATGGGAGAAACACAAATATTATTGCAGCTCATTCCCCGTCCAAGACATTTAATATTGATATTATCCGAAGGAAGCTGTGTGAAACAGAAACAGTAGAAACAGCCATACTTCCATCACCATTTCCTCAAAGACGTTTGTTTTTTATCAAGTCAGAAGTGCTGCTGATTTATTTTATGTCATAAAAACATTTGTGACGTGATCAGAAAGAACTGTGAATATATTTCAAAACGGGACGCACCAACATGAAACTAGGCAGATTTATGCTAAAGCTTGCAAATGTAGCAGGAATCAGGTTTCACTTTTAATGTATTTCACTTGTGTAAAATATTTTTACACTCACATTGAATAGAATCAAACTGAAATTACTTATTTTTAAATTGGTTAATCATCCAATTTGGTTTTGGTAATTTAATAATTCTTACAAAACGAATTATTACATTATTTTTGTAAGAATTATTTTAATAATTATTTGAATAATTCTTACAAAAATAATTATTCAAAGCCAAATTTTAAATTTGAAGAAAATAATTATTTTAAAATTCTTATATTTTAAGTTACAATGTTAAAAACAAAGAGACAAACGTTGTAACCAACTTTCTGAGGATCTTTGTCTAATGTATTAATGTTTTTATTTATCATAATTTTTATTTTCAGAACAAGTCGCGCCCATTTTCAGCTTTCTCACTGCACTGTGCCAAACTATCTGAATTAATTAATAAACCTATTCACCTCCTCGCCTGTGGAGGCGCTGCACTAAGAACTATTGGAGGAAATGACAAAAACCTCAGAAGACACTGAGCGCAACTTCCTTCTTCATAAAATGGAAACAATTTTAGTGGTTGTGGGATTTCTCTTTAAATCTTCAGTAAAAAAAAAAACAAACAAACAAAAAAAACAAGTAATTTCTTCTGCTATTGCTAGATTACCCAGAATGCCCTGCACTGTTTTTCACTTCCTGCTTTTGGAGCTCTGGTCCGCTTTGCGTTCATATATACATTCAAACGGCGCCACAGCTCACTTCAGTCGAACTGAGACTGAGGTTTTTGAGGGATTATCTGACTCATTTCCTTAATAACAGACAGATTGATTAAACATTGCTTTGTAAATAAAGAAACAGTTTGACTGAAGGACGCTCTCTTCTATGTTGGTGCTGAAACAAATGGTGGATCAGTAAATCTACAGAAATTCTGCAAAAGCTAAAAGCAAAACCTCCAAAATGTCTGCAATACCAAAAGTGAAAAGCTCAAATCTGCAAATACTTGAAACAATCAAACACTCAGTATGAACATCAATACTGAAAGTAGAAACCGCCTTGGCAATACAGCAGAAGTCGACATCCAGTCTTACTTATCTTCACTCTCCAGGGAACTAATCAATCATACTGAGCCACAAATTGGAAGTCTATTAGTTTCTGATGGGGGCGTCATAATGGAGTAGGAAATAAGTAGCATGAGGAAACATTAAAATGACATCCATTCAGACCGACGACGGATCAGAACCGCTCCAGCTTGACGAGAGGCTTGCTGCCGTTTCTGCTGGACGACGCCTGAACCGCAGCAAGTCCTCCATTAAAAATGAACAAAGGAAGCAAATCGAACAGAAAAAAGTGGGATGATAGCAAAATAATAAAAAAACATCAGGACACTCAGTTATCCAAGGCTGAAACGATTAATCGAATTATTCGATTACTGAAATAATCTTCAACCAACTTAGTAACCGATTATTCGTTAACTGAAGCACAGCGACTCAAAATGAGGCCATTTGGGGAAATAAATAACACAATCAGAGCAACAATTTTTCCAAATCATTACAGAAAATGTGTACATTTTGTGTCCAAGACAAAAACATCTGCAAACGTCTTTTACAGAAGCTGTTTAAAGGAATGCGGTTATTGCAATGTCTACTTTCTTACTTAATGAATTTTATTATTTAATATATATATTATGTAAAAAACAGGCATGTGGTTAAATGAGAATGTGACAGTTTTTAAACTGATTAATCATCAGAATAACCAATTAATCGATTGCTAATTAAGGTTGTTCACGTTGGGACAAGTTGTCATACATTTTATTTTCAAAACGTTGAACTAAGGATATAAACCCAAGTTCAATTTAGTTTTTCTTTCTGATACAATTAGGCTCATTGTAGATAGAAAACAGGAATACATTTCTGCAAATAAAACTTCAATTTTCTTAAAATAAATAAATACAATTCTGAGATCCAAAAGTGGAACATTTGCACAAAAAAAAACTAATTTTGAGATTAATTTCCAGCAGTCAAGTGAGTTTCAGCAACACAGTAGTTCAGGTTGAAAAAATCCAAAAATAAAATGTTACGCGAAAAATTTTCTAAGAAAAACAAACTTGAACATTCCAAAAAAAAAAAAAAATTGCGATCAGAAATTTTCTTTTAAAAAAAAGACAAAAAATTGGACATTTTGAGTTTCAAAAGTAAAAAAACTGCAAAAAAATTCTGAAGTTTTTTTCAAATTAATTTTCTAGAATTTTTTTTATTGAGTTTCAAAGTCATGTTTTCTTTTGACACTAAAAAAAAATCCAAAGGTTGCAAATTTTTGACTTTTCACTCAAAAAAATTTGTAGAAATTTATCTCAAAATTGTAGATTTTTTGAGTAATTTTTTTATTTTTCAAGCTGAGAAATAATTTTCAATTTTCTCAGTTAACAAAAATTTAAATTTCTGATAATCTAAAAAAAATTGTTTTTTTTTCCAGCAAATTTTTCACATTTGAAACTCAGAAATCACCCAAATTAAATTTTTAGTACATCAAGTTTTCAAGGAAAGTGCAACTTTTTCTTAATTTTTGTTTTTATCTGCAATCTCCTTAAATCCGTCTTTTGTCCATTGCAGTGCATTTTGTACTCAGCTATGATGTCAAAGATAATTACAGTTCAGCAACAACTGCAGCTTCAGATTTGCTTAAACTCATAAATCCTCAGAAAAAAAAAGTCTGAACAATCACGCAGCTTTCCACCTGGCGTCAGACGTACCAATCACGCTCCTCGATGTTCGAAACGGATTTTAATCATTTGGTTCTTCAAGCGCACGATGATTTAAGGCCATGAAATCAAAGCGTTCGCCATGTTCAGGCTCAAGTTTAATTACACGGTTTGTTGGCTTATCTCTTTCAACTGAATAATGTGGAATGACGAAAGACAGCCTGGACCATTAAATGTGAAATTGAAAAGGTAAATAAAAAAAATCACTGGTGATTTTCTCGAGACATTTCTGAATCCATTTTAGGAGATCAGCATTGACCTCGCGCCTGCAGCTGATCGTCTTCCTCCTAAAGCAGATGAGTCACTTAAGAGTCGAAAAGATCCTCTGCCAGTTTTTCTTGTTGTTTTTTTCGGCTTCTTTGACAACGGATCCAGGCTCACAGCAGATGTGGATGAGTTTTTTGTTTCTTTTGAAGCTCTGACCTTGCCTCCAAACTTCCTCGCAGTCACAGTCTCCGGGAGCTGGCAGCTCACTGTGGGAGAAAAACTCCCTCGCGCTCCACCCCGCGGCTCATCCTGCCGCCGCTAATGGCTCGCATGGAGCCGACTCAGACCGGAGAACCTGGTAAATGTTACTCGGGAGACTCGAGCTTCGAGGGTTTTTATATCCTCAGCTAACCTTTTAGAGGAGAAGAGACATTAAGTGGGAGGAAAAAAGGGATCAAAAGTCAATCGTAACGACTTTTGGGTCTGTCAAGCAGAATCACTTTGAAAAGTGACAAGAAACATTTCGATATTGTACTTGAAGGTCAGAGAGAAATACACTTGTTCAATCCACTTCTTTTCCTTCTTTTCACTTCATTAAATGTGGTTCAATCAAAGCTCTGGCTCCAAATGTTTTGGCTAGCACCGACTCCAAACTAAAACTAACATCCAAGTCATAAAAAGCTAAATCTGAAGTCCTCCCGGCCATTAGCCAGATTCCACAAAAGCTCAAGGTCGTGTCGTGTTCCCATCCTAAAAGTTTCCCTGCCTCCTTACGGTCCAGGCGGACGAGGATGTGGAACCGCTCCGAAAGTTTCTATATACAGTAATGATCTGATAGTGGAGCTGTGAGAGGACAAAAAGCCAAAAAAGGCACATTTTATAAGCCAAAAGGGGGAAAAAAAACATGTTTATAGATTTTCAGCATCTTGAACTCAACGTAATCATTCAGGATTTATTCATTTCTGTCATTTTTAAGGGAAATATAACAAATTTAAACATTAATAGAGCTTCAGGATTTGTTTTTAGGATTTGTGAATGATGAACCAATTTAAGCTTTTCAAAAGTTGTAACTTTAAGTCATAAAAAACACTTTAAAAATCTTAACTAAATCTAAAACTTGACTGGGTTTCTAAAACAAAACAAGTAAAAAAAATAATCAAGTTTCAAATTAAATCTAAATAAAAGTCGTAGTAGTCCACAAACCAAAAGCAAAACTGTGCAACATAACATTTGAGATAAGAGTCAGACTTAATTTTAATTAAATTGATTTAAAGAAGATTGCATCTCGTCTTACAAACATCTATATTTGATCTGATTTCGTCAAAATATGAGCAAAAGGTTAAATTAAAGGTTTAAGTTAACCAGAATTAATTAAATTATTAAATCACTGTAGTAGACTAGCAGCAGTATTATTTTAAACAGAAAATTAAACAAATATCCTTTATTAAAGAGTCTGAAATTATAGTCTACAATTTAAATATTTTAACAAATTAAATACATAAAACAAATTAACCTTAAAAATAGATACTTATTTTAATTATCTATGGTTCAAAAAATCTGAAGATACTGTACATAATTTATTCTCTTTAAAATTTTATTTTTAAAGGTGAAATTGCAGAACATTTATAATCGAGGCTTTTATTGTGAAGGCCAGCAATAGTTGGTCTATTACTGTATTTTGCAGTTTTGACTGTAATTTTCTTTTTAAGTACAAACAGCAGAAATGCCAAATAAAAGGACAAGTTTTCTTTGCTAACATCCATCAGCAATAACAACTGGATTTAAACTTCAAAAGTTATATTTGTATCCAAAATGTTAAGTTTGAGTTTGTTTTGTTCCGTCTGCTGTTTTTGGAAATGATCGGATTTATTTTAAAACTCCAACCACTTGAAAAAGATGCAAGTTGAACTCAGAGTTTTCTACTGCTTGTTTGCATGTTAAGTTGACTGGAAGAGGAATGAGGGAAGTTGGAAAGGGGGAAAAAACCTCCTTGGAGGAAAAGTATGACTTCAGTTGGCCAAGTTTCCTCAGACAGACAATATTTCATAAGTTGGAAAGAAAACAAATCAAATTGCATTAACAAAAGAGAGAATATAGAGGAAAAAAAATATTGTTTTCACTCAAATCCTTTAATTGCACCCATGAAAGACAATAGCTTCTGCAGAAAACCAGAAAAGAAAAGCAAGAGGGTAAATCAGGTGAGCCCAGAGCATCCTTATTTATGTTCTACCTTTTGAAATTTATCGCCATTCACAATATTCCTCATCATCAAATATTTATCTAAATCCAGGCAGGGCTCTCAAAGGCTACATTTGGCCAGGTGTTTTAGTTTCGGAGCAGATGTCTGGCAGCCACACGCCGAAAACCCCAAACCACGCACATCTAAACTAACATATTGCAGAATTTTATCCACTGTGAAAATATGCGGTTTAGGTGAGATCAGGCCCGAGTTCCCACAGGAACTGCAGACAAGTTAGGAAATACTCCAACGTCTGACAGCAGAGTTCAGAGTATCTGCTCATGTTATGAAATAATGAAGTCTGCATAAAAAATGTAGCAGAAAAAAATAGAGAAATCCCAAAAGTATTCACAGGTAACTGCCACCAAAAAATGAATAAAGCTGCATTATAACCACATTTAAAATTCATATTTATGATGAGCTTTTACTTCTGACAGCCAAACCAAAGTGGTAAAATAAACTCATAAAATGTATTAGTTTTATCTTTATGAGTTTTGCACTAACAAAATGTTATTAGATCCACCATTGCATTGGTTGGTAATCAATTGAAAACACATTTCCAGACAGAAACACAGGATGGATCATGGCTGTCATGGAGAACCTGTGAGGAAAGTGATCCACATCAAATCAGCTGATTGTTTCTGAAACGTTCATTAAAAGTCCAAACAGGTCGCAGCCTCCCAGACTCTCCAGCTGCTGCAGGATTTATTTCTGCTTGGTTTTTCCAGCTGAGATCTGGTAGCGATCACCGCCTGGTTAACCCGCCACCTGTTAACCAGTCTGACCAGTTGCAGGCCTCCAGTTTGACGCCTGATTAATTCACCAGCTGCTTGATCACTTCGGCCACTCGGAAAATTACAATTACCTGCTTTTCCAGAAGCTGCTGCTGCTGTTGTTGTTGTTGACAAACTTGTCGCCCCGGGCGCCTGAAGTCCCGCTGCGGGGTCAACAAAGTGTGAAGTACCGCGGGAGTACCGATCCGTTCGGTTCCGAACCGAACCGAACCGCGCAAAGTCCGAGCGCCGAGTCGCTCCAAGCTGCCAGACTGCTCTGATTTAAGCACGCAAGTTCCAGTTTACAAGCTAAACAGCGGCTGCCTTCAGGAAATAAATACCGAGAAGATGGGCCGTTAGGGCGCGCCGCTTCCGGTGGGCTCCTTCAAAATAAAACACGGCAGGTCACACCTGCACTATTTGTGAGGAAATAATTCAAATGAATTAATAAAGTGACAGAGAGCCACTTGTAGATAGGAGAAAAGGAAAATACATCAGGATTAGAAATCTTCTAGAAAAAAAGAGAAAATTTTAAAGTTTGAAAAGTTTTCTAGAAACAATTTAGAAATAATGGAATTAATCTAAAAATATTCTATGAAAGAACAAGGATATTTCCAAGTTTCAAAAATTTCAGAAAATTGCAAGATAAAAAAATTGATATTAATCTCAGAAACTTTCTTTTAAAAAGGAAAAATCTTTCTGAGTTTGAAAAGTTATACATCGCTTAAAAAAATCAAACTTTTCTAAGTTTGAAAAGTTGAGCATTTTCTAGAAAAGAATTCAGAAATTTTGATATTAATTTCTGACATTATCGAGAAAAAGCAAGTGAATTTAAAAAGTCTAAACAGTTGAAAATTTGCCTGAAAAAATTTGAAATATTTATCTTAATTTCATATATTTTTTAGAAAACACTAAAGAAAAATTCAGAATTTTAAATTGTCTAATTTTGATAGAAAACATTCAAATTTTGAGATTAATTCTTTCTTTCTTCCTTTTTTTTGAAAACTCCTGGGTTTTTTGGTAGAAATGTATCTGTCCTTTTTTTTCAATCTACAATGCCGTTGTTGTTACAACGCTAATGTTTTCCAAAGCCAAAAATAAACAATTATCGTAAAACATTTTTTTAAAAATTGCTTAGAACTCCGGAGTAAATTAATAACTTAATCAGGGAATCACAGTTTTTACATAGAAATGTTTTTACTTTTACAGTGACTGCTGAAATTATGAACAGTTCTGATTAGCAGCCAGTTATTTTTCACATTTCAGCATCACAATGATTTGAAGATTGCCTTCAAATTTTTGCCACAAACTGAATCTGACAGAAATGTATGGAGCCAACAGAGTGAACATTTTCTTACAATAAAATAACTTTAGAGGAAAAGGAAACATATCACCAAGTCAAAATGTCAGATTTCTCCCATTAAAGACACTGAAACTGAAAAGTGGCTTTGAAAAGTTTTAATTTACACTCTTGAGAGCCCATTTCTATTCTTGTTTTTTCTGTTTCAGCTGAACTTCACAGGAAGAGGAAAACAGCTCAAAAGATATTCACAGAAAGACTTAAAAGCTTTTTATAGTACCAATAAGATCCTTCGTCTTATCTGCTATAACAAATAAAAAATGCCAAACCTTTTTAATCTAACTGAAAATACTTTCTCTCCTATTTCAGCAAGACTTCCCAGAACTTTATTTCAAATTATTTAGCATTTAAAGGACTTCATGCATTTAATATTCGATTAAATTTATCTTATTTTGTGATGTTTTTCTCTTTTTTTAGTGATTATAATCTTCTTCTGAATATAAAGATAAGGAGCTTCCACATGAACCAGTGAGAACTCGGTTCTGCTCTGTTGGGTTTTGTTAGGATTTAAAATTTGCCGCTTTTATTATGAAGGAAAGTTCAGAACTTTGATCACTGCCCTGCACAATTTGTTCTCAGATTTCATCGGGTCACTTTTATCACACACGTGTCAAACTCAAGGCCCGTGGGCCAAATCTGGCCCGCCGTAACTCTTAATGTGGCCCTCTGGTCTCTCGCTTAAACACAAAGTGTGATTAAATATCATGTTGTCAATCAAATCAATGCAGTTTTTATCAGTTTACTGCCAAATTATAGCAATCACTCCCTCCAGTTTCTGCAGAATTAGTATTAAAATTCACAATAATTTCTGAATTTTAACATAATTGGGCGTTTATTGCAGATTTTTCTCAAAAAATTGTCAAAAACTTTGTTAATTGTACTAAACTGCTGCCTCAGCTTTAATTGATGTCAGATTATAGTCCATGATCTGTATAAAAAGTCACATTTACGTCAAAAATAAGTGCAAATATTTCCAAATCAGCACCACAAACACTTTGATATTTACAGCAAACATCACAAAAAAGAATCTCAAAATCCCGAGGGACTGAAAAGATGTTCAATAATATCATTTAATGTTAATAATTCATTGATATTTTAACAGTTTGTGAACAGGTTTTATCAATACCTTCTGGCACAACCGGCCCTTTAAGAGCATTTATCATCTGGATTTGGCCCAGAACCAAAATGAGTTTAACACCCCTGCTTTATCACATTCACTACAGATAGGAAAACCTTCGCTGCAAGGTTAATATCACACGAACCACCATAAACCCCTTCCAGCTTCCAGCATAAACCAAAAGGCAATAAGACCAAATCCAGTTTAAAAGTTGCTTCCTGAAGTGGTTGCAGCTGAAAACAAGAAGGTATACAAGGTTGTGTTTTAATCAAGCTCAGCCTGCAGAGCAGCTGCAACTCTGCAGTTTAAGTGCATACAGATAAAGCTAGCCTGTTAAAGAAGAGAAGGAATGTTTACATTTGGCAAAAATTCAGAAATCCATTTGGCTAATGAAGGTATGCTTCAGTTTAGCGTTAAATGCCTGCACTCACGATGACGGAAACCTGAGCGCGAAGTTTAGAAAGGAAACTGCTTGTTAACCTGCAGCCAAGTCTGAAAAGAGGAAAACAAACAATGACCTTCCTGCACCGTCTCATTATCAGACGAGCAACGATGCACAGATGTTGTTTGGCTGATGTTGACGCAGCTAACGGAGGTTATTGTTACAAAAGCAGCAAAAACGAGGGGAGAATATGAGAAAATGGATCATAAAACTGGATCTGATGGACTTTTATTGGAAAAGGCTGTTTATTAAGATTGTATATTGTCACAAACAATAAATCAATCGCATGATAAGTTAAAAGAAACTCAATAATTTTGCTTGATTTGTTTTCTTTTTTTCTACCAAAAATTGAATGATAAAACTCTTCAATCTGGTGTTTTGGTCTCAATTATCCCTTTTATTTAAAATATCATTTTGTTTAGAAATTTTATAATCTGTCTAATTTGTTGTTTCTGTTGTTTTCAAATGTCTTCCAGTTCCAGTGTATAAATGTTTGTTACAATTTAAAGTTTAATGATAATTTGTAAATGTGCTCCTACAGCTTTACGCCATTATTACTGTTATTTTACTCAAACATGTTCTCAAAACGGTAATGTTATCGTTTATCGCAATAAGTTCTGGGACAGTTTATCGTCCAGACGATATCGTCCGATTATCGTGACAATCAGTTTACGAGAATAAAATAGTTCATTGAGCTCAAGTAGTGAAACTATATTAAACAACTAAGAGCAAAACATGTTAAGTAAATTTGTCTGGTAAAATTGTTTCCCCACTAAAAACAATTCTCTCTGTGTAGTTTATCTTCCCCAAAGTTTCCATAAAAAACATGTCATATGCAGAAAAACCAGCAACATAGAAAGTGTAACATGAGTATGTCCTTTTATATACTTATATTTATTTTATTTTTTTACAAAGATTCTGAAAATGTTTTCGCTTTAACTGCATTTCCTTGACTAATGGGCTCAAATCTTCCTCTATATTCTGCTAATGTTGAAAAAACACAAATTTGCATCCCGGTGTGAATGATCTTGTTCATGCGACAAATTATTAAAAACATGACAGTGACGTATGGAAGCATTTACCTGGGATTATATTTATAATTCCCCGATGGGGGGGAAATGTAGTCGGCCATTTTACAGAAGAGCTACAAACTTAGATGAACCATCTTTCTCTGACAACTTCCTGTCGCCTTCTTCGTCGTTTTCCTCCAGTAACATCCTGGTTTTGGTCATGTGACTCGTGTCACATGATCACGTGTTTCCATTACCGCCTCAATGTACTGAAATGAGAGAAGTGATACTTCGACATATTTTTACTCAAGTAAAAGTAAAAAGTAGCGGTTCAAAAAATTTACTCAAGAGTTAAAAAAACAAAGTATTTGGTAAAAAGTCAAGAACTGATCAAATTATCAGTCATTTAAAATTTAAAAATTACACAATCAGACTGAATAAAGTATAAAGTTAAGTTGTAGTTTTGGTAATTACAATAATTCATATAAGTAACAAAAAAAATAACCAAATCAGGCAAAATAATTTTGTTTAAATCAGTTTTTTCAATGAAAATGGAAAAAAAACTTACGAAACGGTAACAAAACTGCATGTGTGTGTCTGTGTCTGGGGATTTTTTGGTTAATTCAGTGGGTAGAAAATCCAGAAATTTGATTCAAGTAAGAATAGAAATACTTTATAATAAAATCACTGACATAAAAGTAGAAATTGCAGCGTAGAAAAAAGTTCATTTTTTCCCAAAAAGAAAAAAAAAACTTTCTCGATGTAAATAGTTACGACCCATCTTCGGCTTTTTTAATCCAAAAACATATTTTTTATGAATTGTTTCCAATATTATGGTTAATTGAAATACAGCAGCTGTGGGTTATTTTGCATCAATTATTAGCTTCAAACAAAGCTATTCTTCGGTTTTAGTTGAGGTGTGTAGCATAAAATGTGGAAAGAGTGAAGGTGTTTGAATCACATTTATGTTTGGAGCTGCTGTTGCTGATGCAGCGTTAATCTGGAAAGTTACTGCCAAATAATTCCAGATGGAAATGAGTCAAATGTTCTAATTCATCAGATCTGCTTATGAGCGAAAGAAGAGGAAAAAAAATGATGCGAAAAACAAAATCTTCCTCCAGTCTGACAAGCAGATGTAACAGAGTAAGAGGCCTGATTTACTGCGGTCACTCTGGAGCCTGGAAAAGCTTTTCTTCAGATTTAAGACTCTCTCTTTACCTTCTCTCTCAGGACCGAAGGAGACGCTGTAGTTTCTGTGTGTTAGAGCACTGACACTTGCAATTTTCTCCTCAGATAAAAAAGAGGCTTTTCCTAGTCATGAAGCCCCACCACACATGCAGAGATAATCATTAAGAATTGCGTTTCTCACCTCTCAAAATCCAATTTGGGTGATTACATGCGGCGGTCTTGA